TAGTAAAGCCATTTGCAGTTCCTGAGGGTCATTTATACTGAGATGCATGGATTTATGTATTTATTTTTTAATCAGTAATTCACTGGCAACACAGTATCCTGATCTAAACAGTAATTCACCATGCCAGGACTTGAACACGACTGAACAACAAAAGCCACAGAAACCTAAGATTATGAGAATTTGAAAAAAAAAAAAATCATTTTTCCAGGTCATTTTGGAAGAATAATCTGGCATAAGATTTATATCCAAAATAACCTACAGTCAGAGCCAATTTGAATGAAAGATCATGATTCTAGGACATTTTGGAGGAAAAAAAAAACTGCCTTAAGACTTATGTAAAAAAGAAAACAAACCTCCACAATTTGAATGAATATGGAGTTTTAAAATTGCATTTCTGTGGCATTTTGGGAAAAAAATTATGAAGCATTCATGTCCACGACCTCCCTTCTCCCCACCCCTAAGATTTAGCAAATTTGGATTATTTTTTTACGTCCTTTTGGGGAAAAAAATGTGGCATGTAATTATGTCCAAAATTACACTTCTGGAAAGTTTGGATGAAAAAAATTTGCATTAGACTTCTATCCAAAAAAACCCCACTTTTGGGAAGAAAAAAGCTGGCATAGGGCTGATTTGCAAAAACAAACAAAACAAAAAAACAGCAACCAAACAAACAAAAGAACCTTCTGCATTTTGGAGTAAATTTGGATGTTTAAAAAAACCATGTTTGGGGGCCATTTTGGAAGAAAATCTGGCATAGGACTTATGTCTGCTAAACCTTGTTAGTACATTTTAAGAAAAAATAATATTTCCTGTCCATTTACAAAGAACAATCTGGCACAGAGATTACTGCCTCCAAAAATCACAATTTAAGGAGATTTGGATGAAATATCACATCTATAGGTTACTCTGGAAGACAATTTTGACATAGGAATTATATCCAAAAAAATTTAACTATTTGAGCCAATTTGATCACATTTCCAGGCCTTTTAGAAGAAAAGTCTTGCACGGGATTTACATCCAAAAGGTCCTAAGATTTGAGTGAAATTGGCTAAGAAATCACATTTTCTGCATATTTAGAAGAAAATTCTGGTGTAGACTTAGTTCCAATAAGACCTCAAATTTGAGCAGATTTGTATGAAAATATCACATTTCCAGAGAATCTGAGGTGAAATATCCAGCATATGATTTTTCTAGGTCGTTTTTAGAAAAATCTATCACAAGAATTTTTTCTGAAAGTCCATAAGACTTGGTAAATTAGATGAAAAATCCTATTTTCAAAACAATTTTGGAAGAAAAATAGGGTGCAGTATTACATCCAGAAAATTCTATCATGCAAGTTTGGATGAAAAACTGCCTTTCTGGTCCATTTTAGAAGAAAATTTTGCTGTTAGACTTGGTTTTTTTGTTTGTTTTTTAAACACACTAATTATTTGACTACTGTAGTTTCATAGTACATTTTGAAATTGGGAAGTACTAAGTTCTCCAACTTTGATCTTTCAAAAATATGTTCTTTTATTGCCTGCCTCTTTAACCTAAAGCTTAGCACACTGGACATAGAGTTCTTGCACTGTTTCTTCTTGTCCCCTCCCAAGTGATTAATCCTGGAGATCTTCTCATCTAAGTACATAGTTATGTTTCTCATTCCTTGTTATGGCAGCATATTGTTCTATTCGTGCATGACTGACTTACTTAATCAGTTCCTCTACTAAATACATTTTTCTTGGCTATTATTTGAAATCACTACTGCACTGAAGAACTGACATAAATCATTTTGCACATTAATATGGATAGCTATTGGATAAATTCCTTTAAGTGGGCTTATGGGCTCAAAGGGAATATACATTTTTAATTTTGATAGATATTACCAAGTTGTCCACTGTAAGACTTTGCCATTGCGTATTCCCAAGACTAATGTATAAGTGTTACTTGTCTCCAGTCTACAAGACTGTTTTCAATTTTTGTGATTTTGGCTAATCTGACGGGGCAAGGGTGTAAATGATATCTCTCTGTGGTTTTCCTTTGTATCCTTACTAATGTCAAGGATATTTCTGTTCTAATATTTAGTATTTTCTGTTGCATTGTTTGTCTTGTGTTTTGGATGAAGGAGTAGGTTGCCTTGCAGAATTTTTTGTGTAGACAAGTCTGACTTCACTATGACTTTGAGACTTTGAGTTATAGTTAGAAAGTCAGACCTGGGTTATAAAGGCGTTGCGATTATCCATTGCTGTATAACAGACAGTCCTAAAATGTAGGGCTTAAAGCAACAACATTATCATCATCATCCAACACAGTTCTACAGGTTGACTTAGTTCAGCTGAATGGTTCTCATTTGAGGTCCCTCACATGATTGTAGATGTCAGTCAGAGTTTCAGTTATCTGAAGGACTGACTGGACAGAACATCTGAGATGGGTTGTTCACACGACGAGTTGACGCTCACTGATGGCTGACTCAGCTGCGAGTGAAGACCAAAATGCCTCCATGGCTTCTCCATGTGGCTTGGAGTTTTCAGTTTGGCAGCAGGGTTTGAAAAGCAGAAGCTGTAAGGCTCCTTATAAACTCTTCCCAGAAGTCGTGTATCACCTCTGATACACTCTTTTGATCAAGCCAGTCACTAAGGCTGGCCCAGCTTCATGGGGAGGGTCACATGACTCCAGCGCATGATATAGAGGGTGCCAAAGAAAAAAGTATACAATTTTAAGAAAGGAAAATACTGTATTAAAGTTGTAATACTCAATATATACTGATACCAAAAGATTAATAAAGTCACGACTGACTTCTGCAATTAAAAGCGTGGTTTCCATCAGTGTCTAGACACTTCTGATGATGGTGAACGACTGCAGGACTTGTTGCTGTATGAGGCTTCCTGGGTTTTCCTTTGTGTACATCACACACAGGACCATGCAGCTCAGACTTATCACGAATGTAGGCGTGATGTATTGGATGTCTGCAGATTTACTCTTCCATTTCCATGAAAAATGGCCTGTGTTTGTAGTAGATTTCTCAACCTACTTCTCCACCCATAAAAAGGTAGAGGGTTTGCTCTTCTTTTCAGACCAAAATGGTTTTTCTATGACAAATGTTTATGGGTTTCTCTTGTTGAAGTTCATTCCACTAGCCAAAACCATATTCATAAAACTTCTAGACATACCCCTCTCTGGTTTGGGCTGAGTGTCAAGGTGCTATGATACCCTTAAAATTCAGAAACCAGCCGGGCTCGGTGGCTCAGCCTGTAATCCCACGCCTTTGGGAGGCTGAGGTGAGTGGATTGCCTGAGTCCGCGAGTTTGAAACCCGCCTGGGCAGCGAGACCTCGTCTCTACAATAAATCTAAAAATCAGCCGGGCATGGTAGCGCGTGACTGTAATTCCGGCTACTCGGAAGGCTAAGGCAGAAGGATCGCCGGAGTCCAGCGGGTCGAGGCTGCGGTGGCCGGGAGTGGCCGCTGCACTCCAGTCTGGGAGACAGAGTGAGACTCCAACTCAAAAAAAAAAAAAAACAAAATTCAGAAACCATTTTGTGCATAGTCTAGGAATCACACAAATAAAGAGAACCACACGGTCTTAAAAAAGGGTTGTTCCCTTGAGATGTCTACCCTGAGGACCACTTATTTTGAGCAAAATCAATTTGGACTGAAACACAATGGAGGTGTGGTTAACTATCTTTAAATAGGGTTAGATATCACTAGCTCTGTGACTGGAGAACTACTGAGGGTGTGTGTCTGAGGGCACTTAGACCAGTGACCTGATTGACTGGCATGGGCACTGGGTCCAGGTATAGGTTGCTGAGGAGCATGATTGAAAGCCCTAAACCCTGGTATTACAGGATTGATTTGCAAGTGTGGCTTCAAGGGTCTTACCCCTATTATTGGAGGGCTGAGGAAGACACACAGTTGGAGACTGTCCATATGTGGGCATGTGTCACTTAACACCAGGGATATAGTCTGAGAAATCCTTAGGCAATTTCATAGTTCATAAACATCATAGAGTATACTTAGGCAAACTTAGATGGTATAGCCTCCTACACACCTAGGCTGTATGGTGTAGCCTAGTGTTCCTAGGCTACAAACCTGGACAGCGTGTGACTGTACTGTATAGTGCATGCAATGAGAACACAATGGTTAAGTATTTGTGTATCTAAACATAGAAAAGTTATGATAAAATAGTATAAAAGATAAAAAGTAGACTTTATAAACACTATACACTTAAGCAACACTAAATTTATTTCAAATATTTTCCTTTAATAATAAATTAATCTTAGCCTACTGTAATTTTTTTCATACATTTAAAAACTTTTTGACTCTGGAAATAACAGCTTAAAACATAAACAGTATACAACTGTACAAAAGTTTTTTTATATCCTTGTTCTATAAGCATTTTTGTTTTAAATTATTGATTGTTAAAAACTAAGATACAAACAGACACATTACCCGAGGCCTATATGGGGTCAGGATCATCAGTGTTACCATCTTCCACCTCCACATGTTTTCTGACTGGAAGGTCACTAGGTGACCAGCTTCATTATAACTGTATGGGACCACTGTCATATCTGATCCACCTTTGACTGAAACATTGTTATGTGGGACTGGAATGCTGGGGACAGTGCGTTGGTGAGAGGCCCCCAGATGGGAGGACCAGGGACTAAAGCCTGAGAAAAGGAACACAGATTAGTCAGGGAAACAACACAGATGTTTAAAAGCTCCAAGGAGAGAAGCAGGAAGAGGAGCTGTCAGAGCCAAGGGAAGAGGGTGGCTGCAGATGGGACTGGACCAGAAGCCACATCTTCTGGAAGATTCTGTGTCCTCACTTGAAATCTCTATATACAGCTCCTAGATTATCTCCTCATACAAAAGACCACACTTTCCAATAAATATACAATCGATTAGGTTCCTATGTTTCCTAAGGAAGTGAATTCTTGTTGAACAGTGGACTTAAGAGTTCCAGATATCTGGGTCACTGCTAATTCTCTGTCTTTAGGGATGAGTGAATGAGACAGAGTCAAGGTTACAGATTTGTAAGAGGCAAAGTTTATTAGAACAAAAGGCCACAAAACCTGGAGAAGACAGTGGAGAAAGTAAACAAGTCAAACGTCCTTTGACCATTAAGGAATGTATGTTTCTTCTCCACTTCATAACAGTAAAAATTCTGATGGTCAGCTCTTGCCACCGTCTGCACTTTCAGAGGGTGTAGAGCATACTGCCCCACAAAGGCCTCAGCATCGGTCGGGAAGGGTGGTCTGTGGTGGACAGACTTGACCTTCCTGTGTCAGGTAAGATGAGACTTCAGGCTAAAGCCCTGTCCACATGTCTTGCATACACAGGGCTTCTTGCCCTTGTGTGACATCTGATGTAAGGCGAGGTGAGACTTTTGGATAAAACCTTAGCTGCACTCTCGGCACACGCAAGGCTTCTCCTTGGAGTGGAGCTGTGTATGATTAAGGCCGACTTGTTGCCAAAGCCGAGTTCACACTGCCTGCTCATATAGGGCTACTCCCTGGCATGCTTCCTCTTGTGCTGGATGAGGCCGACCTGCTGGATGAAGCCACACCTGCACTCCCAGCACATGTATGGCTTCTCCCGAGTGCATCCTCTGGTGTGTGACCAGGTTGAACTTTTGGTTGAAGTCACACATGCACTCCTGGCACACGTATGGCTTCTCCCCTGAGTACATCCTCTGGTGTGTGACCAGGTAGGACTTCTGCCTGAAGCCACGCCTGCAGTCCTTGCACACGATGGGCTTCTCCCCTGAGTGTATGTTCTGGTGTGTCTTGAGGTATAATTTCCAGCTGAAGCCTTGCCCACACACCCCGCACACACACTGCTTCTCCCCCATGTGTGCCCACCTGTGGGAATTGAGGATGGAATTCTGGCTAAAGCTGTGTCCACACACTCCGCACACATAGGGCTTCTCCTTCGAGTGTGTCCTCTGGTGGTTCACGAGAGTTGTCCTCTGCCTGAAGCACTACCCACACTCCTTGGAGGCATAAGTCTTCTCCCCCGAGTGTGTCTTCTGGTGGGAGATGAGTTTGGACCTGTCTCTGAAGCCCAAGCCACGGTCACCGCACACAATGGTCTTCTCCTCTAAGTGTGTCCTCTGGTGTCTGACGACAGTCGACTTCCGGCTGAAACCCTTGCCACACTCCCGGCACACATAGGGCTTCTCCCCCGAGTGTGTCCTCTGGTGGAAGATGAGGTGGGACTTCTGTCTGAAACCACGCCCGCAATCACTGCAGGTGTAGGGCTTCTCGCCTGAGTGTGTCCGCTCGTGGATGATGAGTGTAGACTTCCAGATGAAGCCCCGCCCACACTCACTGCACATGTAGGGCTTCTTGCCCGAGTGTGTCCGCTCGTGGATGAGGAGCATGGACTTACAGTTGAAGCCCCGCCCACACTCCCCACACACGAGGGGCTTCTCACCAGAGTGTGCCTTCTGGTGTCTGTCGAGGTTCTTCTTGAGAGTGAAGCCCTTCTCACACACCCTGCACACATAGGGCTTCTCCCTTGAGTGCATCCTCTGGTGTGCGACCAGGTTGGACTTCTGCCTGAAGCCACGCCCACAGTCCTTGCACACGATGGGCTTCTCCCCTGAGTGTATGTTCTGATGTGTCTTGAGGTATGACTTCCGGCTGAAACCTCGCCCACATACCCCGCACACACACTGCTTCTCCCCCGTGTGTGTCCGCCTGTGGGAATTGAGGGTGGAATTCTGGCTAAAGCTGTGCCCACACACTCCACACACGTAGGGCTTCTCCTTCGAGTGTGTCCTCTGGTGGTTGACGAGGGTTGTCCTCTGCCTGAAGCACCGCCCACACTCCTTGCAAGTATAAGGCTTCTCCCCCGAATGTATCCTCTGGTGGGAGATGAGTTTGGACTTGTCTCTGAAGCCCAGGCCACAGTCACTGCACACTATCGTCTTCTCCTCCAAGTGTGTCCTCTGGTGTCTGACAACAGCCGACTTCTGGCTGAAGCCCTTGCCACACTCCTGGCATGCATAGGGCTTCTCCCCCGAGTGTGTCCTCTGGTGGGAGATGAGGTTGGACCTGTCACTGAAGCCCAGGCCACAGTCACGGCACATGATGGTCTTCTCCTCCAAGTGTGTCCTCTGGTGTTTAATGACAGATGCCTTCATGCTGAAGCCCTTGCCACACTCCCGGCACACATAGGGCTTCTCCCCCGAGTGTGTCCTCCGGTGTATGATGAGGTTGGACTTCTGTCTGAAGCCACGCCCGCACTCACTACACACATAGGGCTTCTCGCCCGAGTGTGTTCGCTCATGGACGATGAGCGTGGACTTCCAGTTGAAGCCCCGCCCGCACTCCCTGCACATGTAGGGCTTCTCACCTGAGTGTGTCCGCTGGTGGATGATGAGCGCGTACTTCCAGTTGAAGCCCTGCCCACATTCCCCACACACGAAGGGCTTCTCACCAGAGTGGGCCTTCTGGTGTCTGGCGAGGCTCTTCTTGAGACTGAAGCCCTTCTCACAGACCCCACACACATAGGGCTTCTCCCCTGAGTGGATCCGCTGGTGACTGAGCAGGTTTGTCATTTTGCTGAAGCTCGGGCCGTACTCTCCACAGTTGACTGCTCCAAATCCCAAGACCTCTATCTTCGTCAGCAATTTGTCTGTTTCCTGCGGGCTCCCTGTCTGGGCTGCACTGGCTTCTGTCTCCACCCCTCTGAGGCCATTCCGGGAGCTGACTGGTGGCCTTGGCGGTGGCCTGGAGAACGCCCCTAGCGTCCTTTTCTTTGTCCTGCCCAACAAAGGCTTGGCATCGTCGCTGTTTTGGCCTTTTGCTTTGTCACTCCAGGAAATTCCACCAGTGGCCTGCTGCTGCTTTTCCTGGTACCCTGGGCATGGGTCCCCTGGCTGGACTTGACTCTCCGCACACAGGCACGTGAAAAGCCAGGGGGGATGGTTACACGGCACATGCTGCATGGGGAGCTTCTGACTGGAGATATCAGCAGGGCAGAAAGGATGAAGGTAGAGTTCTGGTTCTGGTTCTGGTTCTGCTGCAGAGAGAAAGTCTGGGTCAGAACTGAGTTCTCGGTGGGGTGGCCCAAGCACTCTGCCTAGTCTGACTGGGAGGCTCGATCCCCTGGTCTTCAAAATGCTCACAACTCAAGTGCTCCCAACCAAGACTTCCTTCACATGCCCTATTGTCCAGCCACCACTACTTTGTACCTCTTCTATTATAATCCAGAAAACCTACTCAGATCTTCAGAAAAAAAACTAAGGAAACAGAAAATGCTACATTATCTAGATAAGTATAAAAAGACTATTTTAAAACTATTTTTCTCTTAATTAAAAAAATACAGAAGTGTTTAAAACAAGTATTTTTTCTTTTTTTTGAGTTGGAGTCTCACTCTGTTGCCCAGACTGGCATGCAGTGGTATGCTCCCGGCCACCGCAACCTCGACCTGCTGGGCTCCTGCGATCCTTCTGCCTCAGCCTTTCAGGTAGCTGGAACTACAGGCGTGTGCTACCACACCCGGCTAATTTTTTATTTATTGTAGAGATGAGGTCTCACCAAGTTGCCTGGGTGGGCCTCAAACCTGCGGGATCAGGCAATCTGCTCACCATGGCCTCCCAAAGTGCTGGGATTACAGGTTGAGCCATTGAACCCGGCCTAAAACAAGTATTTTAACACTGTATTTAGAAGTGTGTCATACAAATGACAACTACAGCGTGAAGGATGCTGGGAGGAAAGGATAACTGGGACTATGCAGTGGCAATGCCCTTACGTTTTACTATAAGTGGTGCCCGAATTAAGCAAAATATAAAAAGCTATAGCTATACATTATACTCCCTTAGAGCAGAGGTCAGTCAATTTTATCTTAAAGACAGTAAATGGTTTATAGGCTTTGAGGGCAAAATCGAGGATGTTATATATTTATATAACCACCCCAAAATGTAAAAGCCATGCTTAGCTCATGGCCTTTTAGAATTCTGTTTCGATGTCTCAGCGGGCTTTTTGACTTTCCTTCTGCCCAGTGGTCTTGCCCTCTTTCTCTAGCTCACTCGGTTTTTTTCTGTGTTCTTGCTGATCTTTTTTAAAAACAGTGACAAGAAAGAAGGCAATCGTTGTGGAAGAAAATGGAGTGAACTAGGGAAGACAAACCCAATGGGAAGAGGAAAGGAGAGAGACAAGAGCTACCAGGAAAGCCCCTCACCCGAATGAAGAAGAAAATCTGCAAGGTCGTGCCAGGCAGTCTGAACAGCAGCCTAGGAGGTCAAGAACCTGACCAGTGCCTCCTCTGTGTCCCATTTGCCAGTGTTCTCTGACTCACCCGGGCAGGTGGCTAGTGGACATTTTCTCTTCTCTCTCCAGGTCACTTTCTCTTGTTCCAGCAGGGTGATGAGTTTTGGTTTAGAAAATGGAATTCCTGCTCACAAGGAAAGAAAACAAAATTACTAAAGGTCATAGGTTCCAGGGTCCATTCAAGAATTCGGAGTCAAACTGGGTGAGGAACTTAAAGGTGGTACGAAGAAGAGTAGGGATGGTGAACTCAGACAAGTACACACTGAGTCAACTCCATGCTGGTGACACATCTCTCATCTGAAAGAAGATAATTTCAAGGAGAGCCTAAGGCTGGGTGCTCATGTCTGTAAACCCAGCACTTTGGGAGACCAAGGTGGGAGGACTGCTTGAGTCCAGGAGTTTGAGACCAGACTGGGCAACATAGTGAGACCTCATCTCTAACAAAAAAAGAGCCTCAGCCTGGGGGAAAAGGCTTACAAACAGAACATCACACAAACATACACACATGTGCACACACAAATAGACCCATTTTCAACTCTACAAAATCAGACCTTCCCTAGGAAATAGAGAACAAGATGTCTTCGCTTTTGAGTTCAACCCAATGGCCAAGTCAGAAAGCATGATGGCCGCTTCAAGCACAGCATACGATTTCCGGCAGAAAGAAATGTGAGTCCTGAGAGGTACCACACCTACCTAGCGAGACCAGATTACTGTAGTTCTCCAACATCACCTCCCTGTACAGGGTCCTCTGGGCAGGGCTCAGCAGCCTCCACTCCTCCTGGGTGAAATCCACAGCCACATCCATGAATGCCATGTGTGCCTGTAACACAAAACCCAGCTCTGCTCACCAGGAGCCCGCCATGCCCATGGCTCATGGCAGGGGGCAAGGAGAAGGCTGCCTTGGTCGATGAGGTGTCTAGAGACTGCCTTTGACAGTGACCCTGTTTTCATGTGTTCTAAGACCTTTAAACCCATTTCTATCCAGCCAGGAACTATAAATCCAAGGTAATTTTAAATTCCCTTCTAATTTCAAGTACCTTTTTTTTCTTTGAGTTAGAGTCTCACCCTGTTGCCCAGTCTGGAATGCAGTGGCACAAACACAGCTACCACAGCCTCTGGTGATCCTTCTGCCTCAGTCTTCCAAGTAGCTAGGACTACAGGTGTGCACCACTACACCCAGCTAATTTTTTGATTTCTTGTAGAGACAAGGTTTTGTCATGTTCCCCAGGCTGGTCTCAAACTCCTGGGCCCAAGCAATCCTCTCACCATAGCCTCCCAAAGTGCTGGGATTCCAGGTATGGGCCACTGTGTCAACCTCATATCCCTTTCTATATATTCTATAGCTGTTTTCTTTATGGTTACCAAGGGGATTACATTTAAATCAGGGAATCACAAAACTCTAATTTGAATATATCAGCTTAACTTCAATAACATACAAAAGCTCTTTTTCTATTCCATCTACAGCTCTATTCCATCTCCATTCAGTTACTGATGTCACAAAATCACATCTTTATGCAATGTGTAGTTAAAAAAAAAAAACAACACTAATTTTTAAAATGCAGTAGTCTCCTAAGTCATGTAGAAAACAATAAGTGAAGTTACAAAAAAAGTTATAATAATGCTAGCTTATATTATCACCTATGCATTCATCTTTAACAGATAATTTCATTTTAACTATTTAGTGTCCATTCATTTCAATTTTTAAGACACTCATTAGTATTCCTTGGAGGGCAAGTTTGGTGGTAATAATCTCCATCAGCTTTTGGTTACCTGAGAATATCTTAATTTCTTCCACAGTGTTGAAGGGTGGTTTTGCCAGATATAGGATTCTTGGTTGATAAGTCTGTTTTTTGTTTTTTTTTCTTTTGGCACTTTGAACATATCAATCCCCTGACTGCTGGTCTCTGAGATTTCTGAGAAATCTGCTGATAATTTTATCGAGAACCCTTTGCATGTAATGAGTTGCTTTTATCTTGTTGCTTTCAAAATTCTCTTGTCACCTTTGGCTTTTGATGCTTTCATTATATTGTGTCTAAGTGAGGGTCTGTGAGTTTTTCTTGTAGTTCATTAAGCTACTTGAATATTCAAGTATTTTGTCAAATTTGTTAAGTTTTGGCCATTATTTCTTCAAATAACCTCTCTCTTCCCTTTGTCCCTCGTCTTCAGTATCCCACAATATACAGTTGATCTACTTGATGGTGTTGACAGGTCCTATAGGGTCTGTTCTCTTTCATCTTTTTCCTCTGTGTTCCTCAGACTGAATAATTTCAATTTTCTATCTTTAGAACTCTTCTAATGAATTTTTCATTTCAGATATTATACTCTTCAGCTCCAAAATTTATTTTTGGGTTTATGTTTAGGTTTTCTATTTCTTTATTTATATTTTCATTTTGTCTTTATACTGTTTTCTTGAGTTTCTCCACATCTTCCTTTAGATCTTTAAGACAGTTATTTTAAAGTCTTTGTCTAGTACGTCTGGCTTTTCTCAGGGATGTTTCCTATTGATGTTTTTTCTCCTTAACTTTCTCATTTCTTTGTATGTCTTGTGATTTTTATTGAAAATTGGACATTTAATGCTTTTAATGGGGCAACCTGGAAGTCAGAGCTTCCCTTTTGCTTGCATTTTTGCTTTCTATTTTTACTTAAATTTCCTCAAGACAGGGTGTCTCACTCTGTCACCCAGGCTGAAGTGCAGTAGAATGATCACAGCTCACCACAGCCTTAAACTCCTGGGCTCAAATGACCATCCTGTCTCAGCCTCTGGAGGACCTAGGACTACAGGCATGTGCCACCATGCCTGACTGATTTTTCTTTTCCCTTCCTTTTTTTTTTTGTAGAGACAGGGTCTTGTTTTGTTGCCCAGGCTGATCTTAAATTCCTGGCCTCAAGTGATCCTCCTGCCTAAGCTTCCCAAAGTGCTGGGATTACAGGCATGAGCCACCATATCTGATGGTATTTTTGTTTTTTTAAAAAAGATGTAGTGTGTCTCTATGCTAAGAATAATCCTGAGGGATAAGCTTAAGGTCTTCTCAGGTGTTTTCTGAGTCTATGCCTTTCCACAGGTATGCATAATGACCTTCTATGTTCCCCCCTTATATGCTGTTTCCTTTGAATGTCCTACTTAAATGCCTGGCTCTCAAAAGGGATGAAAGAAAAATAAAAGTGAGGTAAGTGACGAGGCTCTGGTTCCTTAAATCCCCTAAAGTCATTTCAACCAGTAGAGGTTGCAACAATGCTGGACCATAAGAAACAGCAATTAGCAATCAAAACACAGATCCTCAATATTTGGAGTCAAGATCCTTATTGCCCACCCTGTCTCCCAACACCATATGCAAGCTGCTCAAGAAATACATGCATGGTTTCCTGTCATAGGGCTGACAGAGTGGCAGACAGTAGCTGCTACTGCACTAAGAGCTGAAATTCAGTATAATTTACCCTTTGTGTCTTTCCCTGGAATCTGCACAACTCCAAAGTTCAACTAGACTCCAGAGTTCCAAAACAGGAACATCAGACAGATTCTGCTAGTATAATTTTCTAGGTGGTCAGATAGAATCTTGGATCTTCCTACTCCAGTATCATGATGAACTCTCAGCCAGTAGAAGTTTAGAAGCTGAACAAAAAAATGTGGACTCTATCCTGCACTGTAGAATTGTGTGTCATTTAGAGTTAACCAGTAGGTGAATAACCGAGTCACAGGTTGAACAAAGATGCCGAGGGAGGACTTCTGTTAAGATGATTCACATATCCAGAATTGGAGTTGAACTCTTTTAGGTGCCAATAATGCAGTCAGGGCACAAAAAGGGAATGTATCATCCTGTGACAGTCAGTATGGAGACAGGAAACACTCACCATTCCCCTGGCTCTCCAGGACCCTGTGGCCTTTTTCTGGTCTCCCTAAAGAAGGGTGATATCTCAGAAGGTAGATCTGGGTAAGGAAAACAGAAATGAGAGGTGTCAGGTGAACGTGCTCTCCCCATGAGTGAGGCAGGGCCCACTACTCTCTAACCTCACAACTGGTGGAAGAGCAGCACAATGGAGAATGTAGAAAGCAAAGTAAAGGCACTCCCTGGAAACATCAAGATAAAGGGGAAAACAGGCAAGAGAAGGAAATTCAGAGCCTTGCAAAACAAAAGTGAATAATAAAAAGGATACACAACCTATCTTTCCCTTGCAATTCAGTAAAAAAACCATACTTTGCTACACTAATAAGTTTTCTTGAGCTAGAAAAAAAGTCTCAAAAATACTAGAGTCTGACAGTTGCTACAGAAATGAAGAGATGTAAACAATCAAACAATATGTATATAAAGAGAAAATGAGAATTCAAACAATTTAGCTAAATAAAATTTCACTCCTCAAAAAATAATGACAAGGAAAAGACAAACAATAACTCCAAGCTAAATTAAATATCTAAGCATAAATTTAGAAATACAAGATTTCATCTTGAATTAAAAATTCAAAAACCAAGAGTAAAAATGAACAAAAAAGTGAAGCAAAATGAAATCTGAGTGAACTTCCGAAAGAAATAAAGAAAAATACAGTATTATATGAGAAATGAATACTAAATCACAAGATAGCCAAGAAGAATAAATGGAAAGGAAAACATCATGGGTACTTAAAAATAGCTGGAAAGCAATGTAAGAGAATAAAAATACGTAAGTAAAAAGAATCAGAAAGAAAGAGGTTAGAAGGAAAAACAGATGAAGAAATAACATTCATATAGTTCCTGAAGAAGACAAACAATGAAAGAGAACTACTATTTAAAAGTATAATGGAAGAAAACATTTCAAAAATAGATGATCTGAATCTAAATATGATAGGGCCCACAAGGAACCAGGCATGGTAACTCATGGATTTATGATCACTGCTTTGAGAGGTAAAGATGGGAGAATGACTTGAGGCCTGAATTTCAAAACCAGACTGAGAAAAATAGCAAGATTCCATCTCTACAAAAAATTTTTAAAACTTAGCTGGGTATGGCTGCATGTACCTATATTCCTAGCTACTAGGGAGGCTGAGGTGGGAGGACTGCTTGAGCCCATGAGTTTGAGGTTGTAGTATGATTACACCACACTACACTGCAGCCTGAGTCACAGAGAGAGACCTTGTCTCTTAAAAAAAAAAAAAAAAAGAATCTACAAAGATATGAGAGAAAAACTGACCCATACCCACCAGCTCCAAGATATCTACTAGAAAAAGTATTACCCTTCGAAGAACAACAACAAAAATCCTAAGTATCTCTAAGCATAAAGTATGAGACTTCCATCAGATTTTTCAAAGTTATCATTCAGCCATTGCATTTTGCTGGTAATAATGTAAAAAGGTGCATACACAAAACAATATGGTTGTCCTCAAAAAAATTTAGAATAGAATTGTCATGGCTCACCAGTTCCACCTCTGGCTATATATGCAAATGAACTTTCACATTTGTGTAACCCTAGACCCTAACCCTAACATGTACATTCACGTTTATAGCAGCATTAGTCACAATAGCCAAAAGGAAGAGTCAACCCAATAGATGAAGAGAAAATGAATATATACATAATGGTATCTTATTCAGTTTTAGAAAGGAAAGATTCTGACACAAGACACAACATGGATGAACCATGAAGACATTAGGTTAAGGTGAAATAAACCAGAAATAAAAAGGCAGATACTATCTGATTCCGTTTATGTGAGATACCCACAATAGTCAACTTCACAGAAAAGAGAAAGGAGAATGGTGCTCGAGTGGGCTAGGGAGAAGGGAGAATGGAGGGTTAATATTTAATGAGTATGGAGTTTCAGTTTTGAAAGATGAAAAATTTCTGGAGATGGATGGCAGTGATGGTTACATAACCACGTGAATGTACTTAATGCCACTGACCTGCACACTTAAAAATGATTAAAATGGTAAATTTGATGTTATGTGTATGTACCACAATTTAAAAATATCTACCCCCCCCAAAAAAAATCATTCAAAGCAAGACACAATAGGAAACTTCAGAAAAAAACTGATGATGAGCATTTAATATACATAACTGTAGATCTGGCACTAAAGAAGAGAGGTAGAAAATATATGCTAACATTATACAGCTGTGTGTCCTGATAAGGTGGAAATGCCCTAATATAGGAGAAAAGGGGAGAAAAAAGTAGAAAGAGTTGGCTGCATGCTATATGGGCAATAGGTGGGAACTAAAGAAAAAAGACAAAATGAGATTCTGGAATTTCTAAAAAATGATGATGAAAACACTACATACATATGGAGTTTAATTAGAACAGTGAGATAAAGGAAATTATAGCCTTAAAAACTTTTATAAATAAAAATGAAAGAATCCTAATAAATTAATTAAATTCTCAGCTGAAAGAACTAGTAAACTAAAGTAACCCAAAAGAAAGCACAAAGAAGGAAGTAATAAAGATGAAAGCAGAAACTAATGCACAGACAATGGTAGGTCTAATAAGTCAAATTCCAGTTTCCCAAAAAAATATTTAAAAAGTAAGTATTAGCTAACGATTGAGAAGAGAGGAAGCATGAATATTCAAAAAAAGAAATGACCAAAGGAGAAACAACTACTGAATCACCAGAAAGCATTTGTTAAAAAGCCACGTAAGACTATTTTGAAGACCTCTATACAAATAAATTTGTAGACCTAATGAAGTGAGTAACTTTTAAGGAAATACAATTTACCAAAATTGACCCAAGAGAGTCACAAGTAAATTTCACCAAACCTTCAAACCAGATAGTCCCAACGTTCCAAATACTATCCCAGAGAACTAAAAAATTAAGGAAAAAGTCATTTCTCCTTTAATAAAGCAAGTACAACAGTGGTACTTAACTTGACGACAGTTCCAAAAAAAAGAAAATTATAAACTAATTATCACTTGCAAAAATACTGAAGCAAAATTATAAAATATTAGTGAAGAGACTCCAACTGCCTCCTTATATGCTGTGATATTCTTTAATAAAAGTCAATATAGATTCCTCAAAAAAAATCAAGAATAAAGGATTGATGGATTATAAAACCTTTTATTTTGAACTAATTTTAGACCTACAAAGAAGTTACAAAAATATCAATTCCCATATACTCTTAACTCACCTCTTAAATGTTAATATCCTAGAAAACCAAAGTACAATAATCAAACCCAAAAAATAAACATTGACACAATGCCATTAACCAAACTAAAGACCTTCATTAAATTTCTCCAGTGTTTCCACTAATGTACTTTTTCTGGTCCAGGATCCAACTGAGGCTTCCACGCTGTATTTAGTTGTCATGTATCTTTATTCTTCTCCAATCTGTGACAGATCCTGTCTTTTCTTGTCTTTCATGAACTTGATGCTTTTGAAGAGTAGCCCTCAATTTTGGATTGTCTGATATTTTGTAATGGTAAGAATGAGGTCATTTCATTTTCAGTTAGAATATCTCCAGTGCTGTGATGCTGTGTCATTTTCAGTACACCATATCAATGACTCCATGCATGATGTTCGTAACTCATTACTGGTGATGTTAACCTTGATCTTGATCACTTGGGTAAGGTAGTATCTGCTGGGTTTCTCCATGTAAAGTCACTATATTTCCCTTTATAATTAACACATATCTTGGGAGATATCCTTTGAGAGTATGCAAATATCCTATTTCTATTCAAACTTCCACCCACTAATTTTAGCATGCATCTGTGGAACCTGTGTGCAACATTTATTACTGTGGTGTTTACCAAATAACAATGTTCTATTTGCTTCCTGCTTTAAACATTAGGAACTCCTTTAGGTTGGCCTTGCTCCTGCTTTAACCAAGAAATGTGACCCAGTTGACACTGTTCTGGTTACAGGCTTAAATTATTTATTTTTAAATAAAGTTTATTAGTGAGAAAAAGAGAAAGAAGGAGTTCATGGCAGAAAGACCTGCCATGGGCAGGTGTAAGTCTTATGGCTAGACAGCTTTCACTCTCAGGAGCCTCCAGACACCACATAATAAGTTCAACTCTCTTGCTGGGGAGACCACACAGAGAGGTGGAGGCTCTAATGCTACATGTTGAGAGAAAGGCCTGGCTTTCCCAGCTAACTCCAGCCTTCCAGCCAATCCACTAAAGCACCAAATACGTGAGGGAAGCATCTTGCACGTTCCAATCCAAATAAGTCCCCGGATGACTGCTGCCACTGCAAGATGTATACCTCACATAGAGTAAAGGCTGGCTAGCTGATGCAGGAAACCTAAGGAATTGTGAGAGATTAAAGTAGGATGCTCTTCTAAGCCACTAAACTTTAGGGTGTTTTGTTGTGCCACAATCAATAATCAGAACCCCTTCTGACATGCTATGTCATCTTTCTGTTCCGTTTTTTTAATGACAGAAGCATCTTCCTGTTATCGATGGGACTCAGATCCCTCTGGTTGCTGTACTGATGAACATACCTTAGGAGGACACAGGCAGCAAAGAGATTGCTCGAAGGCTATGATCATCCAGGTTGAGATGGTGGTCTGTAGCACAGTGAAAGCAGCAGGGCTGGAGATGGTTAGAGTCTAGATTTGTTTAGTGGATGAGGCTTAAGAGCAAGAATGAAATTGAGAATGACTCCAAGCTTCTGAGCCTGAGCAATCTGAAGGAAGGCATTACCATGTCTCTTCCTTTTTGAAGCTAAACTTGAAAAAATTACCTATTCTCACTTGGCTGAAGCATTTTCAGGGGAGGTAATCAGAGTCTGTTGCTAGACACATTAGATTTGGGATGCCCATGAGACATTCAAGTAGAAATGTGAAGAACACAGGAGACTGGGATGTAGAGTTGAAGCCCAGAGATCTAGGCTGAGACTACAGACAGATGGCATTTAAAGCCTTGAAAGTAGATGGGACCACCAAGGAAAACACACAACTGGAGAAGACAAGAGGCCTAAGAATTGAACTAGGGCCTTCCACAATGGAAGTTGAGAAGAAGAGAAGCCAGCAAAGGAGATAGAGGAGAAACAGCCTATGGGGTAGGAGGAAAATCAGGAAGACCTGAAACCAACAGCAGCCATGTGGAAGGATATACGAAGAAGGAAGAAGAGGAAGAAGTAAGCAACTAGATAAAAACCACTGAGAACTGGCTGTGACTTTTAGCTACAGGGACAACACTGGTGACCATGACAAGAATATTTTTCAGTGGGCAGAACTGAAAAAGCCTTATTGGAATTTTTAAAAGACAATGGATGAATGGCAGTGGAGCCAGCAGACAGAGATCATTTTTTCAAGGAGCTTAGCTCTAAAGGGAAGGAAAGACAGGCAAGAAGTTGGAAAAGAGTCAGGAATGGGAAGAAGAAGGAATCAAAGAGAATGCACAGGTGGGATCGAGAGGATGCAGCCTCTAAATGGGAGCTAAGTCTGGAAACAGCAGGGATGCAAGGAAAACTCAGAGGCCCAGCTTATATCAAGTTATAAAGCTGCTCACACAGATCAGCAAGGTCAGAAGAAACGGGAGGAGAAGCCGGTGGAGACAGGGCAAACCATCAGGCGGTTTCCAGATACTTCTCCCTCTCCTGCCTGCCTCTGACCAGGGCTGTTCTGACTGGAAGGAGAAATGGCATTTTTTAAACAACTGGGAAAAAATTGAATATGGATTGAGTATTAAAGATATTACTAAGCTATTCATTTTGTTGAGTGTAACAGTGAAATTGAGGTTACATTAAAACAAGTCATCTTTATGTGTTAGATACTTTTGAAATGATATAACTGGGATTTGCTACAAACTACTCTAGCAGGAACGAGTAAATAAGGACGTTGGAAGTTACAAGAACAGGATGTTGGCAACTTCACAGCACCTGACAAGCCCTGAGAATGAGTATCTGAAAAAATCTTTATAGAAGTAATGTAGGGACAAGAATAGAGGTATACGGAATGAGAGAGAGTACAAGCTTTGAAAAATATTCCCTGAGAAAACTGTCACCCTTAGAACAGGCCTATTTTCCTGGGAGAACTAGCTAGGGTTGATCCCTTGATGGGACATTGTAGAACACAGATGTCAAATTAGCAAAGGAACTCCCCTTCATGGTTCAAAATGCACACCTACCTGAAGCTGGGCTTTCAGGAGTCCTGGAGTCTCCGCTTTCCCCAGAAGGCAGTCCTCTCTGGACAGGCAGGGGCCAAAGGAGGCAGAACAAGAATAATAAAGGTTCAGGAAAATCAATGGAAACCCTCAAGCTTCAGCAGGGTAGTGCCTCCTCTTCCTTAATGATATCAGGAGTTGACCTGCCACAGAAGAAAAAAACTGTGGGTAGCTTCCTGGGAAGAGTTGGGATACAGGTTGAGAACAAAGCCTGCCCTGACATGCTTTTGACAGTGAATATGAGGTGATCCTCTCTGTGCTTCTATTATTAATAATGGAAGGTAATGTTTACAGAGCAGGTGGCATACGCCAGAGACTGTGCCAGGAACTGTGAGTTTTACCTCATTCTATCCTTACAACAAACCAATAAAGTAGATGGTACTATCCTAATTTTACTGATGAGAAAACTGAGGGACAGTGAGTTCAGCCTCTTGCCCAAGGTGATACAACTATAAAGTGACAGGGCCGAGGAAATCTAGCTGTGGAGACCATGATCTTAAACAGTAAGGGCAGTGACGGTGAACCTCTGTGAGTTGAAATGATTCTGCTTGTGTTCACTTTGAGATTAATAAAGGTTGGTCATGAAGTGACAGCTGTTGGATCTGGGTGATGGACATGTGATCTGTGGAATTTTGTCTACTTCTGGCTGTTTGAAATTTCTCTACAATAAAAAAATCAAATGGGATTTAAAATCCCAAAGCCATACCAGAGAGGTGAGAATCTGATTCTTGTGACAGATGACGGTCTCTGGGACCTTTGAAAAACCTGTCCACTAGGACCCAGACTGACCTCCTTCTTCCAAGGACCGAGACCAGGGGCGACTACCCGAATTGAGACCCTAAGTCGTGCCAACATAGTCACCCCAGATTCTGTCCACCTAGGGATCGTTTGGCCAAGATAGCCTGCCCCTCACCTCAATCTTCCAAAGCTGAGGGGGTAACTGGGCCCAAAAAAGACTAGCCCCCAAATGGCCAGAAGCTCAGAGATGCATGGCCCCAAGGAAGGTCACCACACTACTGAAATGTCTGTAAAACCAATATGTCTGTATAACCGATAATAACCTTGTTTGACATAAGCAACTAAATCTTCCATTTTAGTTGCATGCCTGCTGCCCATATGCAGCCCCTCCCACATGTAACCAGAACTGCTCTGAGCCCCTGAGCTGTAACTTCCCCCTTTTCTTAGAAATCCCCTTCCCCCTATATCCTGTTAAGCAAACAGCAGCTGGCCCATGGCCAAACAAAGCAAGCAAGTATCCGCAAATTTTTCCATCCCTGACTCTGACCCCTCCCTGAAATATAAACTGTAATTGCGAAAGTTGTGGTTTTGCCTATAAAAGCCTCCTGCTTGCTTTGCTCAGGGATCAAGAAGTTTTTAGTGGTGTTAGCCCACTCTCGGCTGCCGGCTATTAGAGGTCTCAAATCTGACTCTCTGCGCATTGGCTATTACTTTCTTGCACTCTAGTCACAACAGTTGGAGGACCCAGCAGAATCAATCGCCAAACTTGGGAGGCAGCCCCGCTCGGCTCTCCCTGGCTCGATGGAGATGTTATATGGGAGATGCCCCCTGACTTGTCACAAGGCCCCATAACCTCGTCAAGTTTGGAGTGGGTTGACGTGACTGCTGTCTTCCCTTCACTAAATCTGAGTCCACCTGCACTCTCCGGAGAGGTAAGAATCTGTTTATCCTGTTTCTTCTGTTTATGGCCATAATTCTGTCAGGGAGGTCGGAGCCTCATGAGGTTGCTCCTTAGGCTCTGTTCAGTGACCCAAGACGTTGGTAGAACAGAGTCTCAGTTTAATATTTCTGTTTGGATATCTCCTTGATGTCTGTATGCTTATGCAGTTTCTGGACCTGTCGTCCTTGGCCTCTTTTCTGACTTTGGGCAATGAGGGCAGTCCTTGGCCTCTTTCCTGGATCTGCCTGATTGCCCTCATTGCCCAAAGTCAGAAAAGCCTAAGTCAGTTCTCGTCTTGCCCTCCACTGGGGAGGCAGAAAATGACTCGGACTGAGGAGGGCAGGGTTCTTTTTCCTTAGGCCCCCAAGAGCCCATAGTAACCACTGCTATTGGAGGCCACCCCGTCTAACTCTTGGTGGACACCAGGACAGAAGTGTCGGTCCTAAAATCATCATTAGGGTCTGTATCTGATAAACAGATTTTTGTTCAAGGGGCAACAGGCGGTCACAAACTGCAAGCTTACCTCTGACTGAACAGTTGACTCGTTTCTAATGGCTCCTGACTACCCATACCCCCTTATGGGCTGTGATTTGCTTCAAAAACTAACATTTGATAATGTTATTGACTGTTCCGCTTTCCAAAGAATACCTCCTAGTTTCTTCATATTCTCCCATAGAAAATGTCTTGTCAAGCTTACTACTACAGTTACAATGGGAGTTTCCTTCAGTCTGGGTGGAAACCACCCAGGATTGGCGAAGCATCACCCTCCAGTCTGTTAGGTCTGTTGGCGTCAGCCACTCCTGTTCACGTTCATCGATACCCTATGAGTTTGTAGACTCAGAAAGGAATTGTTCCCCATATTAAAGGGCTTTTAGCTGCTGACATTCTAACGCCCTGTCAATCTGCTTGGAGTACTCTGTTCTTACCAGTTAAAAAGGCAGGAACATCTGATTACTGGCCTGTTCAGGACTTAAGAGAGGTCAATAAGTGGGCTGAAGCGATCCATTCTACTGTCCCCAACCCATACACTTTGCTCAGCCTGCGTCCTCCTCAACACCAGGTGTACACTGTGTTGGACTTAACGGATGCCTTCTTTTCCATTCCTTTGTTCCCTGCCAGTCAACCCATTTTTGCTTTTGAATGGACAGATCCTGACTCGGGAGATACTAGTCAACTAACTTGGACTCGGTTGCCACAGGGATTCAAAAATTCTCCGACTCTTTTTGGGGAAGTCTTGCAACGGATTTGTCAGGGTTTCGTACCTTGCACCCTGAATGTACTTTATTCCAGTATGTAGATGACTTCCTGCTCATGGTTGCAGACTTGGATACTTGTTTAAAAGGTACTAAGGCTCCCTTACAGCTTCTTCAAGACCTGAGCTACCATGTCTTGGCTAAAAAGGCACAGCTCTGCTCAATTGAAGTTTCCTACCTGGGATACCGGCAGAAAAAGGGTAACCGAGCCCTGACATCGGCCCAGAAAGAAGTCATCCTTTGGATTCCCACACCAACAACAAAGAAACAGGTATGAGAATTCCTGGGGGTGGCGGGGTATTGCCAACTATGGATTCTGAGATTTGCTGAAATTGCCAAGCCCCTGTATACAGCTACTGCAAGGAACCAGCCCCTAAAATGGACTGCTACCAAGGAACAAGCATTCCAACAGTTAAAGATGGCTCCTACCCAAGCGCCGGCTTTAGCCCTCCCAGATGTCACCAAACCTTTCCACTTGTTCATTCATGAACAAAGGGGAATTGCAAAGGGGGTCCTCACTCAAACCTTAGGACCCTGGAGAAGACTGGTAGCTTACCTGTCAAAGAGACTGGACCCAGTGGCCTCCAGCTGGCCCTCTTGTCTCTGGGCCACTGCAGCCATGGCCATACTAGTTAAAAAGCAGATAAATTGACTTTCAGCCAAAGCCCAGCTTTGACTGCTCCCCATGCTGTCAAGACTCTACTACAGGGAGCCTCCGCCTGCTGGATGTCAAATACCCATATCACCAATATCAAAGCCTCCTACTTGACCAACTCAGACTAACTTTCTCTCCTACCCAATGCCTCAGTCTGGCTACCCTACTCCCCGCTGATAATCCAGAAACGCCAATGCTTGACTGCGAAGACATGATGGATATCTCTCAGGCCAGTTGCTCTGATCTTCAGGACACTCCCTTAAGCCAGACTGATGCTGTCCTGTTCACGGATGGCAACAGTCTGGTAATAGGAGGAGTCTGCAAGGCTGGTGCTGCGGTAACCATGGCTCATGATGTGATCTGGTCACAGTCTCTGCCCAATGGCACGTCAGCTCAAAAGGCTCAGTTAATTGCCTTACCTCAGGCCCTATGCTGGGGAGCAGGGAAATGGATAAACATCTTCACTGACAGCTGATATGCTTTTGCTACTCTCCATGTGCATGCTATGATCTGCAAGGAACGAGGATTTCTGACTGCAGCAGGTAAGACTATAAAAAACAAGGAGGAAATCTTAACCCTTTTAGAGGCCATATGGCTCTCTAAGGAAGTAGTTGTCATTCATTGCAGGGGACACCAGAAGTTGGACACTCCAGAAGCAACTGGAAATCATCTAGCAGACCAAGCGGCTTGGGCAGCAGCAAAACTTCCAGTTGAGCCCCTGGCAATCCTGCTAACTAAGACTTTTCCAGTCCCTTCTCTTCCACAGCCCACCTACACTCAAGAAGAAGAAAGACAAGCAGAACAAGTGGGGGCTCACAAAGATCCTACCTACCGGATGGTGGGTCAAGGATTCCAAGATCATCCTGCTGAAGTTCGTGGATATACTCTGGTAAAACAATTGCTTCTACCACCCACTTGGGAGGTACCAAAATGACTGAACTGCTAAATCGCTTTTATCATATCAATGACTTGAAATACATGGCCACTAAGACAGCCACTATGTGCCTGGCTTGTACCCAAGTTAATGCTAAACAGGGTCCGAAACCAACCATCAGCATCAGGCCCAAGGATTTAACCCCGGAGAAAAATGGGAGGTGGACTTTACTGAAATAAAGGCTCGCTATGTGGGCTACAACTACCTACTAGTGTTTATAGATACTTTTTCTGGATGGGTGGAGGCCTTTGCCACCAAAAACAAAACCGCACTTACAGTTACAGGGTATTTGTTAAACGAAATTATTCCCAGGTTTGGGATCCCTCTCTCTATTGGCTCTGACAATGGCCCTGCCTTACCTCATCCATCATTCAACTGGTCAGTAAAGCATTAAACATCGACAAGAAATTACACTGTGCTCACTGACCACAAGCTCTGGACAGGTAGAATGCATGAACTGGACTTTAAAATCTACTTTAACCAAATTAATAATAGAGACTGGTGAAAAATTGGTAAATCTTTTGCC